CAGCTCCCAGCACGTTCCAGCACAGCCAGAAGCAGAGGGCTTCGGAGGTGTGGGGGCCAGGGAAGCCAAGCGAGCCCGAGGTCCCCTTCTGCACAGGGTGTCCTTCAGCCTCCCCACCAACACCCAGGTTCTCAGCGGTTGAAGTCACCGGAGCGGGGGCTGCGCAGACAGAGCTGCCCAAGGCTCCAGCAGGACAAGGAGGCTTTCACCAGAGGGCACACAGGACATCCTTTGGGAACAACAGTGAAAGACAGGACACAGCAAGGCTCTGTACCCAACACTTGGATCCAGCACGCTCCCCTTCCTCCCAACCCCAGCTTGTCAAAACCAGTACAAAAAGTGTTCAGGCAGAAAGCACCAGACAACTTGAACTTGCTGAAGCAGCACACGGCAAGTTGGAAGACTCTTGTGCAGGTTCTGGAGGTGGATCTCTCTGCTGGTGGCTCTTCAGGTTTGGGAGCTCCCATCCAGGGGTTTCAGCAAAGTAGAGCTGTTTTACTCCTAGCGAGGAGCTGTGTCATGCCACTAACAGGCTGCTAACCAAGAGAAACGTTCCTCGGGAGACTTCCCGGGAAGAGTTTGGGGTTTTTTTTGTAAACACCAGGTGATGGAGCTCAGGTCTGTGCTCCGCAGAAAAAGTCAAGTCTCAAGTGGCAGCTTTAGGGCTCTGCTTCCAGTGCTGCAGGTTGGATTTTCATGGTGGTTGACTTCAGAGGGTAGTACCTGCCCTTCCACGTCTTCCAGAAGATGCCCTGCTTGCGCTCGTGCCTCTGCCGCGGGATGGAGCGGAAATACTTCCCGTTGAGGTTGGCATGGCCACAGGTGCTGAACCACCAGCCACCTACCAAGGCAATGTAGAGGCAGGTTTAACCCACAGACACAAAAAAACCTTTAACCCTTCCAGAAACAAAAAAATCCAGGTTAGAGGCAGCTGCTGCCTCCATTTTCCCCACTTTTCTAGGGCTTTGGGACCTTATCACACTACTGTGAGGAGGCCCATGATGGCACTGGGAAACCTCTGCACAGATTCTATGACTTCAGGATGCACCTGCTGTTCTTCCTTGCAATGCAAAACCCCCTCAAATCCTTCAGCAGCCCCACCTCAGGACCTGGGGACTGGTCTCTGCTTCACTTGAACGGTTTCCAAGCAAGCTGGAAGCCAGCAAACCTTTTACAGAGACAGAAGTTTGGGGCAAGACCTGAATCATGACCCCCTCCTGGTTTTGGCTTCCCTTCCAGCTCGCTGCCCGGCTCCTCCAAGGGGTGCAGCTTTCCCAGGGAAGCAGGGAACAAGCCAGGCTCAACACCAAAGGGGGTCTAGTCCCACAGGGTCACCGTCCCACTCATGGCCACCACCAGACAGCGGGGAGCTGACGGGGAAGTGCACACCACCGAGAAGGAAGAGCTCGTACTGACCTGAGAGGTGTTTGGCACAGTTTGTGTCAGCTTTGAGGTCGTGGTCACGATCCCGAGTGGAGAAGGGCAGCTGCCTGAAGTCCCCGATGGCATTTTCCAGCTCTCCAGACAGAGGCCCCAGCAGGTTGAGCATGTAGGCTGTGCTCTCACCACCAAGGCTGAAGAGAAACTGAACCACCTGGGAATTTCCCTCCCAGTCTTCCAGCTCGATCAGGAGGTTGTATCTTCCCTCTTGGACCAGGTGATGTATCTTCTCCAGGCCCAGCCAAAAGTCACCTGAACCAAGACACATTGCATTGGCTGCCGGGCAAAGCAGACACACGAACAGGCTCTAGAGACAAACAGGGACAACCCGGGACACTGCAGCATTTGCACAGCTGGCACCTGCAGGACAAGTCAGGAAGACCAAGGACTCCTGCTCTGCAAGCAGGGGGTCCCACTCCTCAGCACAACCCTGTGTTCCAGCACACAGGGATCTCCAGGAGCCAGCAAGGGGGAACAACTTGTGCTAAGATATCACTTATCCCACGATAAGAAGATAGACCACCTACCACGAAGGTCTCCAAAGCCATTCTTGTAGGCATCCCAAAGCTGGTCAAAGTCCACAGAGCCATCTGAGCGCCTCTGGATCACCGTCCAGCCACCTTCTGCGAGTGGGAAAAACACGGTCATTTGGGTCTACCATTTGCAAGACCACACGAAGCGCTGCGTGACACCTCCAGCGCGTTACCTGTGGTCATGTCACAGTAGACTTTGAAGGGCTGAGACCCTGCAGGCTGCACCTGGAAAACACCGCTGCTTCGCTGCCCGGCCTGGAAGAGCTGGTGGCAATCCTCCGGGAGCTC